AGTACAATAAAGATTAGCCACTAAAATAAAATAGTTTACAATATAATATCAATAGAAATATTATTAAAAATTAATAAAATAATTTAGATATACATTAATATTACGTAATTTACATTAAAATTATGGCTTCCATTCACCCAAAAAAAAGTTATTTAAATTAACATTTAAGAAATAATTTTTAAAAATATTTTTATAAATAAAAAATATTCAATATCTTAAATTAATAAATTTTAACATTAAATTGTATGAGCCTGAACACATTAATAAAATATACATTAGTAGTGTCACAATAAAAAAGTGCAATTTTAAGTTACGTAGTTAATATTAAATAGTTTACAATTTCATCTCAATAGAAATAGTATTTAAGATGAATTAAATATTTTAGATATACATAAGAATCTCGTCTTTAACATAAAAAATTATATTCTGTATGTATACAAACGAAAATAGTTAGTTTAAATTTCAATTCAATCATGCCTTTTTAAATATATTGAAAAAAAACATTAATCGATATTTTTAAAAATTTTAATTTAACATTAAAATTAATGAGCCTTTAAAAAAAAATATTATAAAATATCAAAGCCTGAGATTTTAAATTTATAGAAATTAAATGAAAAATTAATAAAAAAAATTATATATACAATAATATCACTTTATTTAAATTAAAATTAAATTTTCCATGCACCAACAAAAAAAAAGTTATTTAAATTAACATTTAAGAGATTTTTCTTTTAAAACAATTTTTATAAATAAAATATAAACAATACTGTAAATTAATTAATTTTAACATTATGTTACAATTAAAACACGGTTTATTAAATATTTTTAAAAAAATCAGTATTCATTACAATAAGATAATTATTTTTGACTTTATAATGTATGAGTGTACAGTTACATCCTTATTAATTACACACTAACTGTGAAATGAATCTAAAAAGAATACAATGAAATTTAGAAATTAAAATGATATAGTTTAATATATCTAAACTTAAGATTTAAAATTTATAGAAAAAAAATGTAAAATTAATAAAATATATTAGAAACACATTAATATCTCGTAAATAACATAAAAAACGTAAAATAACGTTAAAAAACACTTTAATTAATTACACTTTAGGTNTTGTGAAATGAAACTAAAAAGAGTACAATGAAATTTAGAAATTAAAATGATATAGTTTAATATATCTAAACTTAAGATTTAAAATTTATAGAAAAAAAATGTAAAATTAATAAAATATTTTAGAGACACATTAATATCTCGTAAATAACATAAATAAACGTAAAATAACGTAAAAAACACTTAAATTAATTACACTTTAGTTGAGAAATATAAAAAAAAAAAAACAGTACAATGAAGATTAGCCATTAAAATAAAATAGTTTACAATATAATATCAATAGAAATAATTTTAAAAATGAATAAAATAATTTAGATATTCATTAATATTACGTAATTTACATTTAAATTATGGCTTCCATTACACCTAAAAAAAGAACACATTAATATCTCGTAAATAACATAAAAAACGTAAAATAACGTTAAAAAACACTTTAATTAATTACACTTTAGGTGAGAAATATAAAAAAAAAAACAGTACAATGAAGATTAGCCATTAAAATAAAATAGTTTACAATATAATATCAATAGAAATAATATTAAAAATGAATAAAATAATTTGCATTTAAAATTATATCTTATTTTTGTACGTTTTAATCTTGTTTTGGGTGCATACAAAACCAAACAGATGTAATGAATGTTACTATTTAAACCAGATTTTTTAAATATTTTGAAAAAAAACAGTACAATGAAGATTAGCCATTAAAATAAAATAGTTTACAATATAATATCAATAGAAATAATATTAAAAATGTATAAAATAATTTAGATAATCACTAATATTACATAAATTACATTAAAAATATATTTTGCATGCACAAACAGTATACATGTTCTTTAAAATTACAATTTAAACCTGGTCTGTTAAATATTTTGAAAAATAAACAATAATCAATATTTGAAGTAATTAATTTTGACTTTAAAATGTATGAGTCTCCAGTAAAATTCTAATTAATTACACATTTATTGAGAAATATAAACTAAAAATTGTACAATGAAGTTTAGAAAATAAAATGAAATAGATTAATATATAAAAACACGAGAAATAATAAAATAAAATGAAAAAAGGAAAAAAATAATTAAAACATACATTAATATCACGTATTTTACGTTGAAATAATTATTTTCCATGCACCCAAATCAAAAGTTACTAAAAGTAACAATTAAAGATTTTTTTTTTTAAATATTTTCATAAATAAAAATAATTCATTCTGTAAATTAATTAATTTTAAATTAAGATGTATGTGCCTAAAGTTACATATTAAAAAATTTACATTTGTAGTGTAACAAAAAAAAAAAGTGCCAATTTAAATTAAGTAGTTAAAAAAAAAAAAGTTTACAATTTAATATCAATAAACATAGTATTAAAAATTAATAAAATAATTACGATGTTCATTAATTTCTCATAAATTACATTAAAATTATATTTTGCATGCACAATAAATATAAAATTTAACTAAAGTTACAATTTAAACCTGTTTTGTTAAATATTTTGAAAAATAAACAATAATCACTACTCTTGATTAATTAATTTTAATATTATAATGTTTGAGTCTACAGTTACATTCTTATTAGTTACACATTTGTTGAGAAATAACAAAACAAAAAAAAATACAATGAAGTTGATTAATAATGACACTAAGCTTATTACTAGTAATACTTGTGGAACCGTGCCTGTTGCAGACATTAACGTTGTTTTAAATCTCCTTCCCACCTCTAATGCGTCAACTATGTTCTCTGACGAATTGTTCTGTATTATTTTCGCAAGCAATGCAATACAGAGGACCAACTGCTATATTAAAATAACAATATAGTATAATTGATGACAATTTTACTTATTGGACATGTGACTAGATAGGTACTTAGCTGAAGTCATTTTTCGAATTTCCCGGTCATTATCTGATCAAATTTAGATAATCGAAAGAAAAAAAAGAGTTAAAACGAGAGAAAAAAGTAGGAATAACAAGAAAATCAAAGAACTATCTTATAAACCAAAAAAAAATGTTGTATATTAATTTAACAAACTTTTAAAATGTCTAGATCTACATTAATATCCTGATTAATTAAATATTAGTTGAGAAATATAAATTAAAAAAAGGGTACAATGAAATTTGGTAATAAACTAAAATAGTTTAAAATATCATTACGTGAGATTTTAAATGAATAGAAATAATATTAAATATGAATAAAATAATTTGGATATACATTAATATTACGTATTTAACATTAAAATTATATTATGTACATACATAAAATAAAAAATTATATAGAGTAACATTAAAGAGATGTTATTTTTAAGTATTTTCATAAATAAAAAATAATCAACTTTACTAAATCTACTCTAAATTAATTAATCTTACAATTAAAATGTATGAGCCTAAATTTACATATCAAAAAAATATACATCAGTAGTGTTACATTAAAAAAAAGTTGCCATTATTAGTTAAGTTGTTAAAATAAAATAGTTTACGATTTAATATCAAAGCAAAATAGGTCATTATGATTAATTAATAGATATAATATAAAACAAATAATAAAATAAATAGTTCTTTTTTAAAATGCGTATTATTGATACCAAGAATATATTGTCGATGTGCAAAAAAACAATCATGGATAATGTGACTTTTTAAACCTGAACTATGAATATGTTTACAGAAAGAATTATTCAATAAACACTAATAAATATTGTAATATAACATTAAAATGTATAAGCCTATATTAATATTTGCTTTAAATAACTGCGATAAATTGATTATAAATAAAATAATATCAGTGTTGAAATAATCTCATAATGTACAGCGCATATTATTTACACCAAAAATATTATTTACGTATAAAAAAACTTTTGAAACATAATTTTGTAGTTAAAAGCTTTTTAGTTAAAACGACGTTCGTCATAATTTGGGAATAACGTTTTTAAAATCGTAATCAATGTAAGATTTATGGAGGTATCCTTGCTTATTTCAGTCTTGCACAATGGGCATTGATACACTTCAGCGTCAAATGTCTTCATTAGAAAACCCTAAAACAAAAAGCATTCTATGTTAAAGTGTGCCTCCAATATTAGAATCTGAGCGAAGCGATGAACGTATTGGTTTACGATGATATTTTGCTTCTGTGAGTTNTTTACGACGATATATTTTTTTCGCGAGCTGAATAAATGATTATTCTACGGGTTTTTTTCACAAATGAGAAATACCGGAAAGAAAACTTACGCAATTTCAGTATTTTCGGTTATGATTTTTTTTAAAATTCAGTGAAAATCGATCATAGAAACTTAAAATTTTGTTAAAATTATTAAACTGTGTATTTTATATGTGTGTGGTAAAATTGTCAAATACTTTGAGCTATTTATAAACATTTTAACTTTGCTATGTTTCAACGCAATTTTTTATTTGGTATTTACTCCAAAGATAAATTTTTTAGATAAAACAGATGGTACATTCATACTGTGTGATGAAAACAAAAAAAAAACTTATTTATAATTTAAATGTTAAATTTGAAGAAAATCTCAAGTAATAAATCCTATAAAAACACATATAACCGAATTTCGCTCGGATTCTTTTGTGTTAGCCGTAATTAATCGACGCTAACGATACACCTTACCAACTTTTCACCAAAAACTGTGGCCCACCCAAAGTGCGATACATGTGAGTGTTTTATTTATTGAAAATTATTGAATAAAAATTGTATATTTATACTCACTTTGCAAATATTATGTTTGCATGGGGTTGTTATGGGATTATTAACTACATCTTGACAACATACACACTTAAATATTATCTCCACATTCTCCAGAAATACCTACACAGCAAATTGCAATTGTAAATGTAATAAACTCATGAACATACTTACATGAGAAATTTAGCAAATAAAATATATACCTTTTTTCCTTTATCCAAAAAACTCTTACATTCAGCCCAACGTTTTTCATTCTCTGTATCGTATATAATAAGATTTTCTACTTCCGGTTTGAGTTTATACATAATTTTAATCTTCTTTTTCATACCATCCGTAATGCTCTCTGTTTTTGATGAACCGCTCGTAGACTCATTACTCTCCTCATTTCCTTTAAATGGCCTTTTCCCTTGTTTGATTGTTGTTTTTATGTTATAATTTTTAGGAAACTTAAAACAAATTACAATGAAACGATATATAATTTGCCTAATAATTTATATTGTGGTATTTTTTAACAGAACATACAATTAATTCCAGACCCTTTTTGGCCATATTGTCTATGCCTTCTTGTGTCCAAGGGGCTGGTGCTGGATCATCCCTTTTTAATACATACCGCCAAACAATATACCCGAATAAACCGCGTACAGGGAAGTATGAATAAACTTTGTAAAGACCGTCATACCTATAAAATTATGGGATAAATTTCAATAGCATGAGGTTTTATCGTAGTTCCTATTTACACGGTGTTCGTTTTTATAATTATTGTTTCTTCGCACTTTAAAATTGTTATTATAATTTTACATTTGAAACAATTGGTCAAGTGAAAGTCTTTATTGAAGGTAGCCGATCTCCCGAAGAGTTGGAATGAAGAAGTAGAAAAAAAATGAACAAGTTGAAAACAATCTTAAAACGTCTTATGCCTACCTATATCCAAACTCCGGAGCATATTTTGAGTGTTTTGAGTTACTACTTCTTATAACTCGCAAAGGTTTTCCGTTTTTCCAATTCACTGCCTTAGCTCCATTTACATTCAATATGGAGTAGCAGTTTATTGCCAAAGCTCTACAAATTATTATTTTGATAATTATATACATTATAATTTTGCGATAAATACTTTTCAGTAAGAATATTATCAGTTATACCTGTTGGA